ACTCCAGCACGACAACAGCTCACCCACCTACCCCGCCCCCCCAAAAAAATAAAAAAATAAATTATAATTGGAAAAAATAATTTAAAAAGCATAAAAAAACAAAACAAACAAACAAACAAACAAACAAAAAAAACAAACCCACCCCAAAACAAGCCCACCAGACAAAAACGATAAGAATGCAGCTTCCAAAGCTCATATGAATAATGATTGGAAGGAAAATCCTAAATCCTTCCTGTTAAATAACGTTTCAATTTTTTTTGACTGGGGCTGTAAATCTGTACCATTCTTTATAACTGTAAAAGAAAAAAGTTCACTTTCTTAGAGACACTCACAGTAGATGGTGGTCGCTGGATTGTTCGTTTGTTTGTTTGTTGTTGTTGTTGTTGTTTTGCTTTGTTTTGTTGTTGTTGTTTTTCTTGGGGGTAGAGGGTTGAAAGTGGGTGGTCCAAAATGTTTTATTACTTTCACTTTTCATTTATCATCTTTTCTCGAGTATTTCAATCTTTCTGTTGGAATGCTGTAGCTCAATTACTTAGTCCTGGCCGGTGTCTGTGCTGTAATGGTTAAGCGTCTTGCTGTCGCACGCAAGAGAAGCGAGTTCGATTCCCGAGAAGGAAGAACATTTTTATCGCGTTTCTTAGTCTTTCTGTTAGGATGACAGGTAGGGTCGGAAGCTTTCTTTCTAAATGATCTCAATATTATTGAGAGAGGCGTAAAAACAACCTACTTTAAAAACCTAGTTCTGTTTGGCTCTGGCTGGATGGGTCCAGCCCGCCTCGAATTTGATGCTCTAATTGGGTCGACATGGGCATACGTTTAGATCTAATCCGTTTTTAATCTCACAATCATAGCTTTAAAGGACAAGTATTACTGTGGCTAGAGGGTGGAAACAGTAACAAGATAAACACAATCCCAAGTCCTCAAACGTCAGAGGTCAGGTTTGTTGGTGTGTTTTTTTCCTAACCCTGAAACCCATCACACTGCATAGTAGCCCAAGTTCGGAAACTGAGACCTTTAAAAATAATTATGTAGGTTAAACCTTAGATATGTGAGGCAGCATGGTGAAATCAGGCGCTCGTCCAAACACAGAAATAGGAGAAACAGGCCTTTTTCCGCCAGTTCGGAAATTTTTATCAAATTTTTACTTTTTCGCACAACCTCTTTTATGTCCATATAAAAACACATTTCCATGTGAATTTTACTGAAAAACATTGATTTAAGGCACAAAATATATCATTTTTCTTTTTTCAAGAACTCTTTATCTATAAGAATTACCAAACTTTGGCAGCCATTTTCTCGGTAATTTCACAACTGAAACCAGGCGACCTCACTTCCTTCAATCGCGAATATCTTGAGTTCTGTTCAAGATAGAGGGTTATTTATTTAACTGAAAGCAAGGTAAATAAAACAGCTCTCAGATGAGACCTATAACTCCCCATGCCCAAATATTGACGAGCGCCTGATTCCACCTCGTCATGACCCATATGTGTCTCCACCGTCCTATCTTCATAGATAGGTCAACCAAGCCATCACAATTGCCGTAGCCTACATCATAATCATAGTAATGTGTTATGTAGAATGTCATGCTCACGTACTGTATTATTTTAACAAATAATATGTGAAGAGTACTGACATAATGAGTTACTTCTCATATTTTAGCCCTACGGAAATAGATAAATCACACTTATAGGTGAAGTTTTTACAATTTATAAGTATGAAATAAAAAAGGCATGATTTACTTTAAAAAATAGCATCAATGGAAAATCTCTACAAATTTGACCATACAGTCAATTTTGGTCAATATCTCCGTTTGTGGATTGTGAGAAATAATTCATTTTGTCAGCACTCCTCACATAATAATATACTCACACGCAACAAAAAAACCCGTGTGCGTGCGTCTGTGTGTGTAGGGGTGGGGGGTGGGGGCGCAGCAATTGCAGCAATTCCAGTAGTATAATTATTATATGCGTACTTCAAGAGCTCCAACTGCAGCTGTCAGAGATGAAAAAATATAAAACAAGATTGGAACTGTTTATTAAAAACCCAACAGTTTTCGTTATCTGGCTCCAACAGTACCACACACAATGCTACCTGTCTTCTTTAGAAACACACATACACACACACACACACACACATACACACACACACACACACACACACACACACACGCACGCGCCGTGCAGTCAGAAACGAAACAAATCTGTCTGCAGCGAACAGAATGGATTAGTCTCATCATAGAGTGTTCACACATAGCTTCAGACAAGACAAAGTAGGCCTCCATGAATGTACAGTACAACAAATGTACGACCGAGTTTCCAGGTTGAACCACTTAAACGATTGTCTTGAATGATCCCGCACAACTTGACATAATCGTCACAGAGACGAAAGGTACCGTGCGCCTGTGACTTTTTCAGTCTGTCTGCGGCAGCGGAGGGAGAGATAGGGAGTTGGGACATGATCATTATAGTATAGTTACCCAGTAGACTAGATTGCTATACTGTCGTGAACTGCCTGTCTACATTGTTTGATATCATTTGGTGATTGTGCTTGGCATTCATGTTTAAAGGTGAGAACAATAATATAATAGATCTTATCATGTTGCTCTTTTTTGTTTTATTTTACGGTGTTTTTTGTTGGGTTTTTTGTTGGGGGGGGTTGTTTTTGTTTGTTTGTTTGTTTGTTGTTGTTGTTGTTTTTTTGTTTTTGTTTGTTTGTTTTTTTTTGGGGGGGGAGGGGGTAATATTTTCCGTATTTCTATTTCCTCCACTGCAGTCTCGTGATTGTTCTGAATCACATCATAGTGTTTAGAGCCGTAGCATAGAACTGGCCTTCATTCTTCTTTGAAGGCTACATCTCTCTATTCACTACGAGGTCTTTGGAAGTAAACGTCAATAATTATAATAGACGTCAACTTTAAGCTTTCTTGACTCCACGGAGAGAGAGAGAGAGAGA